TTTTTCCATTTGATCAATTCCCAGTGTACTAATCAAAGTGCTATCACTCTTGGACACAGCCTAGAGGAACAAACTATACAATATATTGAAATGCAGTGAAACCCAGGCAAAGGCACGGGTGAGGTGCAGCAGCCACCAACAAGTATTGAGCTGCCTTGCTCAGGGCAGCATTAAAAACAAAAAAGGTAAAGGTGGAAAAGGGAGTGGAATTTATTATCTAAGTTCAGCTCTGTCTACATGGATTGAGCATGGCTGTGTGAAATGTGGCTTGTCTGAACACTCAGTCTCTGCTATGGTTGGTCAAATTTGGGTGAGGTGATATCAGGTGGTAGGTACTCATTGGCCCCCTCAGGGGTAGAGGAGGGTAGGGCGCTCCTGGAAGCAGGAAGGTTGAGTCACTCAGCTCTATTCTCCTACGGTTAGTCATGAAATGTAGGAGATTAGATATGTAATCTGTACTATCACCAATGTGGTAAATGAATAAAGAAGATTGCAAAAGGAATGGAAACTCATTCAAGTGAAAGCGTGGGCCAAAGTCAGTAGAAAATACACTGCAGAAAATAATAAAAGATAAAAACTTTGTGACATGCCCAGTTACCTCTTCTTTTGTGTGACTTAAAATTAAAGGAGCTGAAATTTTGCAGATTCTTAAGTAGTACTGCATTGCCAAAGCTATTTGCTGGGCATTAATAATGTCTCCCCATTTCCTAGTAAATACAAAGATAAATCTAAACTTTTCTAGAAAAGACTGTCATGTATTAGGAGATAACTTTGAGGGAACTCTGACTTTCAAATTTTTCTCTCCCCTTTTTTAAGAAATAAGTATTTGGACTCTCCAAAGTTTGGTGAGACTTTGAGAATTTGTGGCAGTATGTGGGGGGTTTGATCCACCTAAAAAGATCACCCATAGTCTAAAGCAGTTGCCAAAAGTTTAAGTATTCCATATTGCAAAAGCAGGGAAACTCCCTGAAACTTCTTTCTGAAGCTAAAATGAGTTTCCTATCTTCAAAAGCCCAATCCTTCTTTCCAAGTAAATATTCAAATTATAATACCCAGGGTTGTCTGGAGAAGAAAAGCATATCGCCTAGAAAGTAAGCTACTGTTTCCCAAAGAAATTTCTAATAGTTTTTCTAATACCTACAAGTTAGCTGTTTATTTTCAATAAGAAATACATGTAGTTTTCTTCAGAATGATCTAATCATGAGGCATGAGAAGGCTACCACAGGAACTCTGAAGACCTCTGTTTGATTCCTGATTCAGCCACCACAGTTTTCCTTATCACTGTCAAGCCCATCCAGTCTCCCTGTATCTCATTTCCCCATGTGTAAAATAAAATAATCCTGATTTTTCCTTAGCTCACCTTTGAGAAAGCTGAGATCCTTCTGCTTTCAATATGGTAGGACAGAGAACTTGGACTGCACAGACATGATTTAAATCCATTCATTCTTTTCCTTCACTGTGTTCCCTCTTGCATGTTAGAGAAGTCCCTACCACCCTTATTCCAAGTTACTTAGACGTGACATTCTGACAGAATAACTGGTGCATCTGGGGAAAAGAGGCACAGAATAGGGTTTAGCTGCAAACTTTTTCATAATGACCACAGATCCTAAGATGAAGAGTGCCAGAAAATGTTGCATTTATCCTAACAAACTTTACTCTAGAAGCACCAAAGTTATACTGACCTACCTAACTCTGAAAATGCCTAGAAGAAAGACACTCATATGTGATTGCTGTCAAGTGATTGCTTTGTAGATGCAGAACTGAAACATAAGACTTGGTAAGTGCAACAAGAACTTAGAGGGACTTAGCCGTAGACTTGTGGCCTGTGCAATTACAGAAAAAGCTGTTCATGTAGTCAGACTCCAGATATATATTTGCCCTCAGACCCTGCTATTCTGAAATGTGCCCTTCTGACAAACAGCTAGAAGTACATTCATGGATGTTAAAAGTCCCACCCTTTAGTTAAGACAGTTTTGAAATCTGCCCTCTCACATTAGCCCACCTTCCAAGGAAAAAAGCTGTATGACATCTCTTTTTCCTCCTGATGCTCGGCACTGTCCTTGTAGGATACTGTCACAACAGCATTCATTGCAGGTGAAACGCACCCCGAAGCTGTTGAGATCAAGCATGTTCTCCTCCTGCACAGAGCCATGCGTGAAGATAAAAGTCAGTCCTGAAAGAAAACAAGACGACAAGGCAGCGAAAAAAGAAGGCATCCCTGGTGGGGGATCTGCAGCTCCCACATGTGGGCCCAGGTGCCCACGGGGGTGTAACCCCCAGCTCCAGAATCCCAGGCTGGAATTTGGGCTGGGATACGCTGGTGGCTCGGTGAGCCTGGCTGGCTGGCAGCCACAGATGGAGCAGTGCCTCCTGGCAGCTCAGAGCAGGGCAGATCCCGCCTCCGGCAACAAGCATCTACCCTAGTGCTTGTGAGGGTAACAGAAGCTACAGGAAGTTAGGATTGGACGTTTTCCAAAACATCTGGAGCAACTGAGCCCCTTAAGCCAGCCCTGCCTTGTATCCTAGTTGTGATCTGGGACTGTTATACAGGTGTCTGTATACCAGATTAGATATTCATAACTAATTACTACAACGTGATTGCTTGAGCCAAATGTGTGCTCCTAATCCTTCCTCTGCATCTTTGGACTTTCTTATCTCAATGATGTCTTAATGTGAAGTGGTGTAGGCCAATACACAAGGTGCCTAGCAGCTGGAACTCACCTGCACTTTCAGTAGTTAATCTTAATAATAAGGAGTTGGTAGCTGGTTTTTCCACCTTGCTTGGTACCAGACTGGCTGTGTCTTCCAGCCTCCACAGGAGTTAGTATTGATTCCCTGTTTTACTGGAATTTTGCTTTGCTGTGGGCATCAGCCCAACAGAATTTATTCTGCACAGCATGGTAATAGTGTTTCCACAGGGCATGCAGAGGCTGGAACTTAAGTAAGAAGAACCTGCTTCTTTTTTGCCATTTGGACTTGGCAAATTACAGCTGAATCCTTCTCAGACACAGTTTGCTGGACTCATAAGTGCATCCCACATTCAAGATATTAGTCACAGAGATCATAATATTATAAGTAGAAACAAAATGTAAATTAACATAATATGAAGTACTTATGAGAGTCTTCAGAATAGTGCCCTCTTTAAATACTGCAGCTAGTTCCTGAGCAGATACCATGCCTTATTCCCAACTCTGCCAAAATAATTTCAACCCTTTGTAAGAGGACTTGACACTTACTAATAAGCAAAAAAACCACAAACATTTGTGTTTAGTAGCACTTTCCTCTCTTACTGAGGACTTCCATCTAAATTTAAGCATTTTTTCTAAGTTAATTCTTCACTGCAAAAAAAAATACTGATACTAAATAATGTCAACTGTCTTTATTGCTGTAGCAACAAGACAGAGTAGCATTAAAATGCTTATTTAAATAAAAAGTGAGTATATGTGAGAAAGAAGTAAAAGACAGGAGACAGGAATTGAATTACTCATTACTACTCATCTTAAAAATATCCTCTCAAATATTCTAGCAGTAATTACAGAAGGGAACAGGCTATATTTTCTCAATAAACAAAAATAATAGTTTAATTTTCTAGAAATCCGCAAGGAAATTGTATTTCATGAAAGTTTAATTTCTGCAAGTGCACCACTGTGGTAGGAGACCATCCTTCCCAGCCCAGAGCCATTGGGAAAATATAACTTTTGTATTATATTTCCTTCAGGTAGAGTTTCACAAATCAGCAAAGTTCAGTAGTCCTTATTTAGCTTTACGTTTCTAAACTCTATTCTTGTAGAGTTTGATTTTTTTTTTAAATGCAGATAAAGCTTAATGATTAGAAGAGATTAGAAATAAGAGACAATGGGACTTCAAAAGAACATACAGGCAGTGTTGAGAACAAGTGCTTTAGCTGCTTGAGTAAGGGGTCAAGTCCTGGGCCTATGTACAAACTTGTACAAATCATTTTACCTCATTTAGTCTCTGTTCACCCACCAGAAAATTAGTATGATGTTCTTTATACTATAGGAGAAAAGAGAGAACTGGAGTTTGCAAAGTTTTCTGACATCCTTTGATGAACTTGGAAAGCTGAAATTACAGAAAAATCTGAAAATCTTGTTGCCCTTCATTATCATAATGAAGAAAAACCAGTGATAATGGTGATAATGTAGTCCTCTATCAAAATGTTGCTTACACTGGCTGAGAAAGCTGAAGCCTGCAAAGCTGCTGAAATGTTTTTGAAATTGCTTTATAAGCACCCATTTGCCTAGATCCTGTGGAAGATCAACCTTTGAAAAAGATTTAGCATTTAGAGAAATTCAGTTATACAGAGAGAGAGAAATAATATTTTGAACATATTTTAAAGTTTATTTTTCTTAATTTGTAGGTCAAAAGTATTCTACATAACCAAGAAGTGCATAGCACTGAATTCATCACTTTGGCTAGCACAGCTCAAAGAGGTGCAGGAAACTACTTCTACACTGCTGTGTAAAATACGTAATGTCCATTGGTAACACCTGGGTAGCAATATACGTGCAAATAAAATCTATAACATCTTCAACTATGTCAAGTGTAGTCTCCTATGTATATACAAAATCAGAAAAATATGTTGTGGATTTTTTTATATACACTATATAACATGAGAATAAAATTGGTATAGTTTGCAGTAACTTAGATGAGACCAGACTTTCATGGTACAAAGGTTTAGAAACACCTGCTCAGCATTTTTTGTCTTGGACCATTGTGATGAAAAAGTTGCAGAAAGAAAGCAAGCTTTCTGGACAGTACTCCTCAGCCACCTTTTTCTGATCAATATAGTCTATGTCTTCAACACAGTCTTGAGGGCTGTGTTCTGGCTTTTTTTCAGTCACAGAGGCAGCTGCTGGAGTCTGAGCAACTTCCTTTGCAGGATGAATCCTGTTCCTTTTTCCAGAACCCACTGATGTTAGTAGGCTTGAGCGGGTCAATGTGAGATGAGCGCTTCGTGGGCCTTTCCTACATACTTTAGATTTTAGGACACTTCTAGGGTCTTGACAGATCTGCTTCTGTTTCTTTAGAGATCTGGAGACTTGTTTCCAGTAGGATCTCTGGTTTGCTGCATACTGTGCACAGGTGGAAGGGTCTCCAGAGAAGTCACACCAGAACTCGCTATCACCATGCTTGCACTCTATGTGCACAGTAGCAGCGTTCGTGTCAGTCACTGCCCAGGTGCACTCAGCATCTTCTTTGGTTTTAAACTTGCCTTTAAGAGATGATTTTCCTCCTTTTGGCTTCCGCCCCTTTTCATTTTCTTGGTTAGATTCAGTTTGGTTTTTTCTACTGTCTTCTATGCCTTGCTTTCCCGTTTTTCTTTCCTTCTGCCTGTCACAGTTGGCCAGTATCATTTGGGAGACCAAAATCAACATATAAAGAAGTCCAAAGCTTTTGATCCTCATGGTCTCAGTTTTGCTTCTTATCTGCCTTTGAAACAAATAATCAGACATATAAAAACATTTTCATTTTATTAATTCAAGGGATAAACGTGCAACTTCAGTGTTGAAATGTAGCTAGTTAGCAAATCATTATCAAGCTGATCCTTGGGTCAGCAGAGAGTGCTTATTTCTGTAGTTATTTCTTTACAAAGCAGCTTTCAGGATCAGAGCATACCATAATAGCAGAGCATTTAAATCTGACATTTAGTTGATTAAATCCCTGAATGTATTTTCCAGATGTTTCCATTGTATATATTTCTGTAGCCAAGTTTCTGTGTTAGAAAGCAAAAATTCATGTGTTGGCACGCTAATAAGGAACCTATTTCAACTTCCAACTGTCTGTGAATATTTCTAGTTACATGAATTTATAATCTAGAATACAGAGGCAGCAGCAGATGCAAGCAGGTTGTGCTTCTGCGTAGCTCTTACTTGTCTTGCTCCACATCTTATACTGTACACAGAAATTTTCACTCCATAAAACCCTCTTTAAAGAACATGTTGTAGTATATACAGTTCTGTTGCAAATACAGCAACAAATAACATTAAAACGAATAACAATAGGACAGTAATCTTCTATGGCAAGTGGAACAGTGCAAACGTAAGATAACTAAAAGACATACCTTGCACAGGGCTTGGAGATAGCCAAAGGTAACTCCTGATGCAGCTTGTCTCTTTCAAAAGAATCTGAGCTAGCTGTAAACGCAGCGTGGTATTTATAAAGGCAGAGACACACCTTCAGGTCTCCAGCAAGACTGTTACAAAACAATAGGATACTTCAGTGCCATGTTCATCCACCTCAGACACACCTCCTTGGAGAAGCGCCAGTTCTCATTCTTAGCACAAAAAAAAACCCCTAACAGCTAACGTGGGTTGACAAGGTGTGTTTGCCTATTTTAGATGTTACTTCAGCCAAGTCCTTCCCTCTTCACGAACAATGGTAAGAACTTTATTAGATCATGAGCTTCTCCAAAAGAGCTTTTCCCAGCCGCAGAGGGATGTATCCTGCAAAGCCCCCAACAAGTTGCACTATCAATTTGTTTAGTGGAATTTGGGTAGTGGTGTTCAGTGATTCTCTGTGAAATGAAAACGATTCCACAAAGCATTTCAAAGTTACCTTTCGCACATTTTGTTATCTCCTGTCACAAAACTGTATTGGAGAACATTTAAAAATCAAAATAAGTCATTATTCTGCATTAAGGACAGCATTCATTATGGTGAAATGGTCACAAGCACGTTTAGAAACAAATTCAAGCTTCCTCAGAATTAGTGACTGTGGGGTCTGAGAGCTGGGATCAGTTGCACAGCACTGATGTGTGGTTTTCACTCTCTGCCAGCTTCTGTGTATGTAAAGAAGTGGGCTACATTGTAAGATTTCACTATGAGACCACATCTATTGCATATTAACCTGAAAAGCATGATGACAGTCAAAGCACAAGCATTAGATAAACAGAATAGGTGTCCCTTAAAGAATGGATAGGGCAGCTGGTGCCTTTGTAGCTCTTTTGCTTCAGGTGGTTCTACTGGAGAAAAGTGGGACATTTGTTGTATATGCTTGGAAAATACTTGGAAGAATAAGAGGTGGCAGGCAAGAGGAGATAAAAGTAGAAACTGGTGTAAGATAAAGGCAGGTTTTTCTCTATGACTCTTTCCAATCAGATATAAACGAAACGAGACAAAGGGATAAAGCTATAGGAAAAGGATTGTCTGGACTGGTTTGGTGATGAAAACTTCCTGCAAAAAAAAATCAGAAGACAAAAAAGGAAGAAAAAGTGTAACCCTGCAACTGTGCAGGACAGAAATGTGGGGAATGGGATTTGTTTACTTGAAATACTATGGATCTCATCTGCGTGTTGGGTCTATCTCCTAACATATGTATGTTCATCTACCTTTGATCCTTTCCAATTAAGTTCAGCTACCAGATCTGCCTGGTGCACCTCTGGTTGGTATCAGTTATTATGAAACTATTTGCAACAGTCCACTAAATGGGAAAGATTTGTTGTTAGCCGTGGCAAAGGCTAATGAATAAGGTAAGGATGACTCAAGGATCAGAAAATGTTTAACAGTGTGTCAGGTTAGATGGGAATCAGGAAACAAGGATAACGTAAGAGGTAAGGGAGAGACTATCTTGCTCAGGTATCCTAAACTAACACCCCATAGCATGCACAGTATCATCTGGAGCATTTAACACAGATCCTCAGAACTGTGTGGCTGCATTAGTGTGGATATATGCCCTCACTAATGAGCCTCTCATCAGGACTAATTACTTTGGGGACAGCATAAAGCTAAAGTTGCTATACCACCTCAGGTTCTGGCACTATTTCAGGTGTGGCTTTATCGTGCCCCATTGACTCATGTAAGCAGACTATAAACTGATTTTTCTGTGACAGATTAGGGGTTGGTTCGGGCATATTATCAGAAATCCCCCTCACCAAACCACCAACACACTTCTCCCTGCTCTGGTTGAACAACGTCTACAAATGGGGAAGAGAGGAAAGCTACGAAGTATGGAAGGAACTGCGGGCAATGGGACCAAGCACAAGGTTTACATTAAGAAACTACACATTCCTGTCCCAGCTCTGCCACAGACTTTCTCAGAGATATTCACTGGGAGATGCCAGATGTTCTTTACCTGGAAAGGGAATATTCTTGCAGGTGATGTTGCAATCATTTTTTTGTTGGTGTTTACAAAATACCATTTACTGATGAAACTAATCACATGCATTGAAAATATTTGAGCCCTCCACCATTCATCACTTCAAAATTTGCCTATTTTGACAGCTTTGCCTAGCAAAGTAGGTTTCAATGTCAGTATGGGCTCAGCTGCCCCACTGTCAATGGGACTATCAGTGTAGTCTCTCTACTTGATAAAAATGGTGGAGATGGGGAAAGAAAAGGCTGTGCAAGAGAAGATTTGCCTTTCTGCTGCTTTGATATTCCCTCCTGGAGGTCATGGCAGACTGTTCACATGTTAGCTCTTCCCATCTTTAGCATGCAGGAACTTTTGCAGAGAATTCTGCAGTGGAGTGCTTGTCGAGACTGGCAACAACATCTTTGAGATGGGTCTTGAACCCACTGGACCACTTACCTAACCTGATTATGTGATTTCAAAATCAAAGTAAACCAAGATTTACTTATTTTGGTGCATAAGATATAGTCTCACTTTATGGAGGTGGGCCTGAGTACTCTGCAGTTTTATTGCTATGTCCCTAGAATATACGTTGCTCATTTTTAATTAGCCATGAACTGATGTTCTGTGGATGCCTTTTATTTACCTGGGCATATGGTGCATATTCCCACTTTGCCCCAACAGTCCTGCTGGGAACTGCCTCACTAGGTTATCAGAACACTTTTTTTTCTTCAACTTTCATCTAGAAAAGGAAGTACACAAAATTAAAGCAGGACCTCCATTTCTTAGGTGCTTAATTAGTACCCAATTGTCAATGAAAAATTCCTGTAAAAACTTGTTTATAATATTATTTCCAAGGAAAACTTTCTTTTTTCTTTCTGTAGTGCACATTAAAAAAATTTACCTTAGCCTTGTCCTTTGCTGAGCTAAAATGTTGTTTGTTTGTAAACTGCAGGTACACTTTACCCACAGAAAAAAACTGCAGAGTAGCAACCAAAATACAGTTTGATCCATGCAACATATGTCAAACCTGAAAAACTAATTTGGCAAGAATAGATTTATGAGGACATGTTTAGTTATCAAAATAAAAGGCACAGAGAACATTGGCAACACTAACAAATAAAAGTAATCATTGAGAATTACAAACATGGATGCTCAAATCCCAATGTGAGTTTTGTATCGACAACCTTAAACCAGGGGTATTCCTG